TGCTTTTACTGTTTGCTGAGCTTCCGTGACAGAGTGGAAGCTCTGCAAGTAGTCGTCCATATAATGGTTTCTTTTTATGGCGACCGCAGCTTCTGGGTACGCTTCTGCATGTTCTTCAGCATTTTTATTTTTGATGTATAATGCTGTGCATGGTGATGATGTCGCTCCAAAGATGATTGACGTCATCCTATATTCCTCCGGTTGGTCCTCCCGCCGCTTGCCTCTCCACAAGAAACGTAAAACGTCTCTATCTTCTTTGCGCACTTTAATCTGCATGAACATTTCTTTTATATCGGCGCTCACTGCATACGGATACTGTCGGAACCTCATGATCACTCCGGGCAGTGATTGTAATAAGTCGGGCCCCGAGTGAAGCATATCGTTGAGACATATTCCGGCTGTCTTCGCTGCGGCGTCGTGTACCAATCTCGGCGGTTTGTTCGGTTTCGCAGGGTTGATGACTGGGAAGTGTGGCAGATACCATGTCCTTCCTTGCGGCGGTGGCATTGGCGCGCGCTCTGCGTAACCCGAGTTGAAGAGGTTCTCGATGCGTTCTTCGTACTGTAGCTTGAGATTGCTGTCTCGGTCGAGCCTCTTCTCTAAGGTGTGCAGGCGCCTTTCCGCTTCTTTATAATTATTTGGTATTTGGAAGTCCTTTTGTTTCCACAACAACCCTGTCTCGAATCTGCCGTCCGCTGACCTCTGGCTGGTTTCGTCCAATATTTGCATGGCTCGCTGCTCGGGATCTTCTTTCGGTCTTCTCGGCTCGATGCACAGCGACTCCAATTTGAAATAATTTTTTATTTCTTCTTCTATCGGTGGTGCATCTTCCCTCTGATGTAGTCTGCCGCAGAAGGTGACCGTCGACGTCAATGAGCTATGACAGCCATGCAGAACCCAGCCCAGGTTGGTGTATGAGGCGACTGGTTGGTCTCGACGGCCGACGCGCAGTTTTCTAGACACTATGAGGTGCCAGTTATCTTGCCCGATTAGTACTTTCGGTGAGGCGCGTTCGTAGGTGATATCCTCTTTGATATCCAACAGATGTGGGCAATTCCCCAAGTGATCTTCATTCACGGATTCTGGCGCGAAGTCCAACCGCTCTACAGTACGCGCTGCTTCTATGTTGTGTTCTTCTTGCGCGTACGTTCCTCTTATTTTAAAGCTGACGATCTTGCTCTTCTCGTGTTTCACCTCCGAGCCGACCCCTTGTATCCACATTGTGTGGGCTGGGCCGTCGGCGCCGATGACGTCGGCGATTGAGGCATCGACTAAGGTGACCGTGCTCCCTTCATCCAATAATGCGTATGTTTCGACGCAGCTTAGCGGCCCCCTTATTGTTACGAGCGCAATCTTTAGGTAAGCGCGGCGGTGCTTGTACGGTCGAGTCGCTGTGTTGACCTCCTTTGCCGATGTTGCGGTTTCCATAGCGGGTTCTTTTTCCATTACTGCTGTTCTGTCGTGATGCAACAATTTATGGTGTTTCATCATGCATCCGCCTTTTCCGCACGGTGGAGCTTTGCACAGTAATCGACGATGTTTGCCTCGCAGACAGCGGTAGCAGATATTGTACTTCTTTGCTACTTCCCATCTGTCATTTGTGGACAGAGCGGCGTATGACTTGCAATCGGGCAGTTTGTGTTCTTGTTTGCATTGAGGGCAGCGTTCTTCATATGGTTTCTTGCTTGTGGCGAAGGCACGTTCTATTTTTCTCGGTCTTCGCTCTCTCGTTTCGCTGTCCTCTGCGATGAACTCCGGCAAGGCATACGCGCTGCATTTATCCGCTTCTTCGTTTAAGAACATTGATATCTTCTTAAGCTCTGGGATATCTTCTTTCTTTCTGGCTGCATAGTCGTACCATTTGCTTTTCAATATGGGCGTGAGTTTGTCTGTGATAACTCGCGTCATTTCTGGACTATGCAGATAGTGTGCTTTCTTGAGTGCTTCCACGGTGCCCACTACGTTCGCTATGCGATTTGCGAATATGCATAGCTCCCTGGGATTGTCCGTAACTTTGTTCAGCAGCTTCAGCTTCTCTATTTCCAAGTGAATTAACGCTTCTGGTCGTCCGAATCTCCTTTCCAAAGCTTCTATTATAATTCTGGGATCTGGTTGGCTTATAAGTAGGCAACCTGCGGCTTCTTTTGCTGTCCCTTTTAAGCTTCGGCGTATTCTCGCTATGTTTTCGTTCGCCGTGAAGTACTTTGAAGATTCTTCGTACATTGTCTTGAAGCTGAGCCACTCCTTGCTGCTACCATTGAATGAGGGCAGCTCTTGTATATATTTCGGCGGCTTCCTTGTGCTTCGTACTGCTTGTGATAGAGCAGCGGCTAAGGTAGCGACGTCGATTTGCTGCTGCGCCTGTCCATAGTCTTCTTTCTGCGGCGCGGTATGTTGCGGAGCGTATTGCGGCGCACACTGTTGAAGTACGGGTGGTGCGATCTGCAGTGCTGGTTGCGGCGCGAAGTACGACGTGGGTTGCGGCGCGGGCTGCGGCGCGGGTTGTGGCGCGGGTTGTGGCGCGGGTTGTGGCGCGGGTTGTGGCGCGGGTTGTGGCGCGGGCTGAGGCGTAGGTTTTTCTTGCAACCATGTACTAATGCGCACTGATGCCAAATCGTCTTCTATTTCTTCATCTTCATCGGTTGATCCGGCTTCTGCTTGTAGTCGCTGCACGTGTATTTCTTGCAATTCTGTTCTTGCTTGCAACTGAGCCTGCTCGAGCTTGAGTTCGGCTAACCGCTCTTTCGCCTCTAACTCCGCGAGGAGTCTCTTGCGTGAGGCTACGGAGCGGCGTGACCTAGTCTCGCCGGGCTTCAATGTGCACTGCGATCTTTGATCACCCTCTTGCTGGGTTTCTTCCGTTGCGGTTGTTCTATCGGTTGCCGAGGTAGCGGTCGTATCGCTGACCGTTGTGGTTTCGCTAGTGGTGTTTGTTGAACCACTAGCGGCTGAGTCGCCCCCGGAGGCCTCTTCTGTGGCCCCCTGGGTTGTTTGTTCATCCTTGCGACGCTTCGATGATTCTCCGTTGTTACTACGCGTAATCACCATTCTTCTTCACAATAATATTTTTTCGTTCTTGCGGTTTGCTTCTTTCTTCCGGCAATACCAAGACCGATATTGTCTTTTTCTTCTAGTAATCCGGCTTCTCGAAGGACCATTAATATTACGGATCGCCGTAATGCCGTGCGAAAAATGGAATAAAACGCGCTGGTCTTGCTTTTAACTGGAGGCAAGCGGCGGTGAGGAGGAACTTGTACTTTTTCTTTTCTTGCTGGTGCCTTTTCGGTGGCTGGAGAGCGACTGCTGACCCTAGCGGCCGGCCCGTCTTTTATATGATTTGGCCGCTGCTGGCCAGCGGACCCTTGCCTCACCCCCGCGCCTATCTTTATTTATTTAATAACCTTACAAACTAATAAACATAATTCACTATATAATATTCTTATAACTACTTGTTAGACTAGGGTGTACATATCAATATTTTTACTTATTTACGGGTTTACATTATAATTTTCAGCTGCTTTAGGCGGAGAATCCTTCCCCCCGCCTCAGCACTATAAATATAAAACGTCGTGGCGCGGTGCGCGTGGCTTCATTTGCTCCGCGGCCGCGTCACGATAACATGCTCTTTGGTTACACTACTACTATTTTTTTATGTGCCTAACGGCCTAATATATTTATTATATAATAAAGTAAACATTTATTATATTTAACAATTATAGTTTTCATTAGAAGACTATGCTAACTCTCCCTGTTCATACGGTGCCTTTATTTGGGAGAGTTATTGCACAGTTACAACTCAACCTTAAACTTAGTTATAATACAATCATTATTTTTTATCGTTCGATACAAGTAATACAATTATTTACACAAATTATAATTTAAATTCAACATAAGGTTGCGCTAGTTCCGCCGTATAACCCTTGCTAGTTGTCGAACCAGAGGCGTGGCCTGATAATTACACCGTCGTCCTGGCTCCGCCCACCGCTCCTAGGTTGTTCAACTAGCGCCGGTTACAATAAGCATTTTCTTTCGTTTGTTTAATATTGTTGCGTCGTGCACACCGTAATCAGAGCAAGAGGGGGAAACACTCGTTATTAATTTTGCTTTAATTTTATTGTTAAATCATTTAATGCTTACTTTTTTTTATTTTTTGTGATGGTTCATAATCATCTAAAAATTTCACTTATTTCAAATTTCTTTATTTTTCAATAATAATTTAAAATTAAAAATTTTGTACAGCCGACTTCAATATAAGTTATTTAAGAATAACTTAAAAACTATTGGTCTGACCTTGATCAAATTCATATGGGACCACACGAGAAGTACCAGCTTTCAAATAAAAAAAGAATCATCGAAATCGGTTCACCCAGAAAAAAGTTCTGAGGTAACACACATAAAAAAAAAAAAAAAAAAAAAACGAAAAAAAAAAAACATACAGTCGAATTGAGTACCGGCTCCTTTTTGGAAGTCGGCAGAAAAATAACGAAGACTTTTCAAAGTCGTTGTTAAAAGATGTTAATCAATTTGTTATTTTGTGTCTAATTACATTGTCGTCAAATATATGCGTTATTATCTCATAGTCTCACTTTTTTTTTCTGTTCCGCTAATTGTGCCGGTTTGTATATAAGAAATCATTACGGAATTTAAATAAAACTAGTTTTACGGATTTTATCGCGTATATTAAGTTATTTTATATTCCCGACGTTCCGAGCAGTTTATAGCACCCATGGTCACGGGGGGGGGGGGGACTGAGGTGTATGACGTCCCAATGTCATAGTTAACCACGGCTACCTCCAGATTAAAAAAATTTGTTCCGATTACGTAGTATGAACATAATAAAAATTGATAAAAAAAATTATATACGCGATAAAATCCGTAAAATTAGTTTTATTTAAATGTGTAGTGTTCGCGTAAATATAAGAAATCATCATTATGGAATAATATAATTTACATGTTATAGTCATGCTGCATATGCATAATATTTTTTTTAATCTGTGCAGCTTCAATCTTGTATCCTGAAGGACCGCAGCCTCCTCGACACGGATAAGATGGAACTGGTCATTTGCCTTATGAGCCAAGCCAACCCTGATAAAGCTCTGGACACGGTGAGTTCACTAATATGGTCTACATTACATATTATATTCTTTCTCTTTTAGTTTTATTTTTTTGAGTATTTTTTAAATATTACTTAAGTACTCAGAATTTCCCTTATAACTTTTCTACATACCTACCATATCATAAACAGAAACAAAAACAGAAACTTTTTATTCAATATATAATATAAATAAAAACTTATTGAAAGTCACTCTTATGTTTAATTTATCACTGGTTCGGAAAATAACACTATCCTAGGAAGAGCCAGCGAGAAACACAACGGAACTTTTACAACTTTTTACAATGTTACACAGTTTACAATCATTTAAGTTACACAATTAACAACACAAAATAAATTAGAAATAGCTGTGTAGCGATCACCTTATTTGCATGTAACTAAGACATGAACCAACCATTTTTAAAATTTTGGTCTGTCTGGGCCAAAGAGTATAGTAACTGTCCTATACAGGAACTGGTCTGGGCTAACCTTCGAAATGGCTGAACCAATATGATAAAACTTTAGAAACAGATCTCTATCTGTTGCTAAAGTTTTATCATATTGGTTCAGTCATCAGCAGTACCGGGCGGGATCTAGACTATATTTTATCGGAAAAAAATGTTTTTTTTTTTTTAATTAAATCGAAGTGTCAGTAGCCTAATGGCAGGGTGCGCACCGCGAACTCGAAAGGTCGAGGGTTCCTGTCGTGAACCACTTCTAACACAAGCATTTTAAGCTTACGAGAAGTGGTTCAAGGGAGTATTAATAATGTTTAATAGCATTACTAGTATCTTTTTATAATAAAAAAAATACGTAAACTAAGTGAATAAATATGATCCGTTTACCTTCCAGTGCTTAGAGCAAGTTAAAAAACTGTCCAACTCGGACAAAATAAAACGTTGCGCGTCCGGTGAGATGGGCGACAACCTGCTGGCGTCTTACGGAGGCAAGACCGAGCTCATCCAGCGCCCTCTGTCCTTCGTGCCGACCATCGTCATCAACGAGGTGAAACAGTTTTCTTGAAGCGTAAACTTTTTTATAATTGTTGTGATTTGAAACTCGGTGAAACGAAAAAGCGACACTAAAAGAGACATATACATCTATAGGATTTAGCCTGTGAGAGAATGAGATAGAATATTATATTAAATTAGTCGTGTTTAGGCCATCTAGCGTCTATTTTAAGTACCACCGTGAGAGTTAATAAATTTTTGCTGGATGACTTTACCTGTAGAATGAAGTAGATGGCGCTAATATAAAACAATTTTACTCGAAAGAAAATATTCTTTTGATTTATTACACTATTAGGCTCTACATGTCTAAAAATAAGGATTGTAACATTTAGTTGCTACAAACGTAATCCTTTATCTTATATTTTATTCATTATGAAAATTATGGTATTAAGTAAATAATTTGCCCGTATCACCTAGATAGAGAAACGAACTACTAATAGATGCAAGTGGCTCAAGAACGTGCTTTGGGGGAGGGTTCTTTTTACTGGATAGAATGCATTCCATCTTAGACCTCAGGGGTGACAACGTATATGCGTTTTGATTCTTAATTGAGGATGGATGTAGATGTCTATAAGCGACAATATCTACTTACCATCAGGTGGACTGTGTGCTCTTTCATCATCCATATTCTATAAAATAAGATAAGAATTTAAAAACACGCATTGATCGTGAGCTTCATGTTACTGATAATTATTTTATTTTATAAAGGTGATACCCGATCAGGACACTAGGATAGAATTATTAAATTATTGTATTGACATCGTTCCTTGATACATAGATCGATAGATAAATAATAAAAGAGGCTAATAAAAGTGAGTTTAAACAATGATATTTTTCACCACGTTTTTATTAAGTCACTTGTTTGTCTGTCTGTCATTCCGTGTGAAATCTTGCAACTGAAATTTCGAGCGCTTTCGGATGAGCTAGATACTTGAGGCTTGAATTTTAATAGATACGAACACAGCTGACGAGAAATACCAACGTTCCGAGAAGTCTGCAGTTTGTGATCATATCCTAGACGGCCCCCGCCATTACATTAGATTTGATAAACCACAAATTCTCGCGAAAGAACATCGATTCCTGCCAAGGACGATACGTGAGGCTATTCAAATTTAAAACATCCTAATTTCAATAGAGAAGATTGATTGGTACTACCATCTGCTTGGGATCCTGTAACTAATATAATGAAATTAAAACTAAATCCAAGCATACCAATGCAAGACTTCAAAACACAGAAAGTTCATTCTGTGTAGATCAGACCAAAAACTAATAATTAAAAATCTGAAGGTACTCCGGTTTAACTCTGACATCGGAACGTTAATCACCTCAGTCCCCCATGACTGGTTCGCCGAAACGTCTGGAATTAAAAAAAAAAGTGTGTGTGTGTACTTATACGAGTATACGCACGTAGGAAGTTATACTTCTTTAGCGTAACAAAACAAAAAAAAACTTGAGAGACAATTACCTACTGAAGTTGTCGCTTTTAGGTGTCAGTGTGCACGCGCATCGTAAAAAAATTCACTCTCATAATTTTTCCCGAACGCCCCAAAAGAAGTATAACTTGAAAACTAAGTATTATTATACGCGATAAAATTCTTAAAAGTAGTTTTATTCAATCTTACATTTCTTTTAATTTTACAGAAATATGATCAAGCCGTTCAAGACGAAGCCATGAACAACCTTAAAGCGGTGGTCTGCCGCGTCTCGATCAACAAGCCGTCTTCTTGTTAAACTAATTTTAACCTTATTTATATAAGCTTAAGTACAATTTTTGATAATCGACATATATGCACAGCAGGTTGAGTTAGTGATCACTAGATGGCGCTGTAAAAATTTTGATACTAAATTTTAAAGATCAATAAAGATCAAATTCTTAGTTACGATTGTTATATCTTGGTGTACTTCAATTGTTTGTTATATTAAATTAATGCAAAATAAGTACAATCGTTATTATATTTGTATAAATTTGTTAATATGTGAAGTTATGAAAAAATTATGTCCGCTACTTACTTACTGCTAGTTGTCTCAATGTACTCATGTGCTGCTAGATGGTGCTGTATGTAATTACAAGCTCAAGACTTGATAAGAAAATGACAATAATTAGTTTTAAGACAATTTTGTAATGTTTTATTATTAAGGAAGATATTAAATTAAGTACTTAGAAAATGTGTTTTAATGTTTTCATACAGTATACAAAGTTATTTTGCAATGACGGGCCAAATTTGCACAGAAGGTTCAGAATAGAAGAAAAATTTATTTAAAAAAATCTCAATAATTCTGTCCTTTTTATCTTTTAAATTCAAAATGCGTGGTAATGCATTATTTTAAACGAATTTACTGCGCACGTACACGTAAGGGTCTATCGGTTGGCCATAAATCACATACAATTTGAGATAGTTTGAAATAAATGTAGAAGCCTTATTAACTCGTATATTCGAAAACTACAATAACGGTATATCATTATTTATATATTTGAACTTAAGTTTAAGATTTGGCTGCTTTTTGTAAAATAACCTTGTATAAAATAGATTTGTTTTCATAGATTATAATTATTTTTATTATAATCTACTGAGTTATTATTTACTATTACCACCTTGTTGGTTGATCTTTTTCGTCCTCCTTCCAATGTAAAGTACATTGGAACAGACTTTCCAGAGACTGCCCCAGATGTATTGCTACGTTCCTAGTCTCGTCTCATAACGTCCCACTGGATGTGGGCCCAGCATCTCCATCAACATCTTTAAGATCTAAGTTAGCCTCACAGAAACAGAAACAGAAACAGAAACAGAAACAGAAACTTTTTTATTCAATATAGATTATAAATAATACTTATTGAAAGTCACTCTTTTGTTTGATTACCACTGGTTCGGAAAAAACCTCTGTCCTGGGAAGAACCAGCAAGAAACCCAGCGGGACTTTTTTTTAAATAACAGCTTACAATCATGATGTTACACAAATTAACAACACAACAAATTAGAAATAGCTTGGTAGCTATTTCATGCAGCATGCTTGTCGTACCGCGGTACACCCTGCTATAAACTAATGATTTGCTGGGAAACCGTTTTTAGCGTTCCGTAACCAAATGGCAAAAAACGGAAAGCTTATGGATTCGTCATGTGTGTCTCCATCCGTATGTCACAGCCATTTTTTTCCGAAACTATAAGAACTATGCTGTTGAAACTTGGTATGTAGATGTATTCTGTCAACCGCATTAAGATTTTTACACAAAAATAGAAAAAAAAACTAACACAAAAATGATATTGAGATTTCATTTAGAGATATCATTTTTTTCTAAACTGAGTAGTTTGCGCGAGAGACACTTCCAAAGTGGTAAAATGTGTGTGTGTGTGTGTGTGTGTGTGTGTGTGTGTGTGTGTGTGTGTGTGTGTGTGTCCCTGTAACTTTAAACTAAGATAATGATAAAACTATAAAGTATATAAAACTGTAAATATATTTCTTTTAAAAACTATAAAAGAAATATACGATGTACATTACCATGTAAACTTCCACCGAAAATTGGTTTCAACGAGATCTAGTAAGTAGTTTTTTTTTAATACATTATAAATTTTTTTTTATAGGATAAGGGTGACAAACGAGCACACAGTCCACCTGATGGTAAGTGGTTGCTGTGGCCCATAGACATCTACATTTATCCTCGATTACGAATCAAAATGCAGTTGCGTTTTCACCCGTGAGGACTAAGATGGAATGCCTCTATTCCAGTAAAAAGGGTCTTCTTTTCTCTATACTCACCATAAGAAACACAGCAGCATTAAGCTGCTATTTTACGCTGGTATTCTGTGAGAGCGTGGTCCTTCCCCGGTCGAGCCGACCCATTCGTGTTACAACTATACCAGAAATATAGCTGCAGCATGGCTCTACCACGTATAAGACACATACATCGTAAACCGCAATTTACCTTTCATTCAATCAACTCAAATATTTTTTTTTAAAACGTTACCCCCATACTAGTATTTTCTCCTGTGTCGTGGAGGCAGTTGACAAACATAAATTGCACAAGGACAAACATCCAGACCCGGAACAATTATTTGTAGGCCATACAAATACTTGTTCCGTGCGGGATTTGAACCCGCGGCCCCCAGCGCAATAACTGATTGCTAAGCCACTGCGCCACGGAGCCGTCAAAATATTACAACCGTAAATAATAAATAAACAAAATATTACAAGCCGTATAAAAATAAAAAAATATACACTATTATTAAAACATTGATCAAAGTTACAACAAACAACAAAAACTTTTATATTATGTTACTTGCTGCTACGGAACCCTTCATGGGCGAGTCCGACTCGCACTTGGCCGCTTTTTTTATACTTTTTTTATATTTTTTTATACATCTATCCTCTATTACAAATCAAAATGTAGATGCGTTGTCACCCGTAAGGACTAAGATGGAATGCCTCATTTCCAGTAAAAAGGGCCTCCGGCCACCTGCACTCACCAAGCGAAATGCAGAGGTAAACCTCTACTTCACGCTGGTTTTCTGTGAGGTCGTGGTACCACCCCGGTTCGAGCCGGCCCATCCGTGCGACAGCAAAAGCTGCCGCGTGGCTCTACCACTGTTAAAATTTACGTGGTACTATTGTGTCTTATTAGGTTAGATTTCCACTTGGTCGAGTTACCAAACAACAACAAATGTATTTCTGCACATCACTTAGGCTTCTTACGTCTCGACCCTCTCTGTTTAGTGCTGTCACTGTCACTTTTGGGAATTTCACTGTCACTTTCAACACCATCACTAACACTGTTGTGCGACTTCATGTGGTAGGTCAGGCTCAATTTTGTGCCTGGCCTTGTATCCGCAGAGGTGGCACTCGTAACGCTTGTCTTCTTTGTGCTTCTTCTGGTGATTAGTGAACAGAGCCTTGCTGGCCGTAATGTATTTACAAATGTGGCACATGTAGATCAAGATGGAGTGCGTTGTAACATGCTCCTCATACTCCAGTTTGCTGTCGCTTCTGTACTGGCAATCCATGCAATTGTAAAGGCCCCAAGTGTTCTTCCTGGAGAACGGGTTCAGGTGTTTCTTCTTCTTCTTTTTGGACTTGGTCTTTATCAGCTTGACTAGAGGCACATCGTCCTCGTCAGTTTCGTCGGACACCTCGACGGTTTCGATGCGGTGCTCCTGGATTATCACGTCGTCTTCGTCGCTCGCGGTGAGCAGGCTGATCGGGTCATCGGGCCTGAAATGGAAACAGAATTTTTTAAGTGAAATTTCTTTAGATTGTTGTGATTTGAAATTTGATGAAATGAAAAAGCGACACTTAAACAGAGAAACATATAAATCTATAGAATTTAGCCTGTGAGAGAATAAGATAGAATACATTAACACAGTGTTTTCTATTATCACACTCTCCTCTTCACACAGTGCTTGTACGATAGGTAATATAACTTTTAACTGTTAAAATAAACAGTAAAAAATATAACAAATTTATTAAATACATGGAATTAACCATATCGAAGCATAATTGTCCCGCGCCTGATCTCTCTACGGTCGTGTCGGTATGCCGTCCCATCGGACTATGAGAGTGAGGCAATAGAGAGTGCACCAGTGCTTGCGCATACACTTGGGCACTATAATCCTGTCCTGTGCAGATGGCTAGTCTCCGTTGAGGCTGGCCGCCGTGACCGAAATTCGATCCGGAGGACATTATTATTATCATATGCGTTGTCACCACGGAGCAAATACAAAGAGGAGATGGCATTAGCAACTGTACACTGTGATTCTAACTAGGTCCTGACGTCACCACAGTGGGCTTAGCTTTACTTAGTATACTGTCAGCGTTCGTTCTGGGCCCATATGTGTCGAAAATCGCAAATCGGTGTGTTTTCGTAGTATTAAGAAGAAAAGGATGAAGTGTTGTGTTTTATCGTGTAAAAACTACTCAGATAGACGCTCTGATGCTATGAATCGAATCACATTTCATTTGTAAGTAATTTTATACCTGATGTATTAAAAAGATTCTAGAAAAATCTCTGCGTCGGCTTTCAAATGTAATTAAATATATTCGAAACTAGATGGCAACACTTGTGTCATGGGAACTAAAAATATACATAAAGGTACGTAGAGCTCAGTATTGGTAATATAATCATACGAAGGTGTTGAAATTTGTTTTGCATTCAGTCCTAAATAATAATAATAATAATAATCATTTATTGACAGACAACAAAGGCCCGTAAAAAAAACATAATTACTTATAATCAACAAACATAAAAAAATTAAGTAAAATCAAATAATAATGTAATACAAAAAATAAATAACAATTAAATAAATGCCATCAAACAAATTAAAACTTACATCTTAACATACTAGACCAATATTTAAATATTTCACTACAATTTTGCGTTAAAATTAGTATAATCGTGTTTCCAGATTTGAGAAGATTACTTCTAAATCTGGCCACACGATGTCTTATCAAAGCATCGAGCGTCGGTACGCGTGCCTCAGCGAACATTGTAGATGCACTACAGTACCTCGGAAAACGAAATAATAATCGGAACGAATCGTTATATTGAACCTTAAAAATTCGATAGTTTTCCTTTTTAAATTTAGTCCAGAGATGCGGTGTGTAAAGCGATTGGCAATAGGTTTTAAATAGTAATATTTTAGCATCTCGCTCACATTTATTAAATTTCCTGCCAATCATATTTGCACGTACAGCAAGGGATCGCCTTTCTCTGTCCATGTCCTGATCATCCCTCAGGTCACTCG